TTATTTATATCTTACTATATCCTGTTGTGAACATCGTGCATTGCATTGAGCGTCAGTAAATCGATAAATAAATAAAAATATTATTTTATTATTTGAGGATTGAACAAAGTGTCGACAAATATTAAATGTCTGTAAAATAAATTCGTAGTATTGTTCAGTATAATTCCATGCGTTGCACGTATAGTCGTCGTGACTCGTGCTTAAATTTATAATGGAAATAGTGTTGAAGAAATTATTATTCACCAAAATTTTAAATTTTCTTATAAAGAACTTACCTACATGTATTTTCAGTTAGTTAGTTAAAAATTCTCCTGCGCAATCGATGTGTACCTTTTTACTAAACATTTTCTTTTCTATATCGTCGCAACACATGTATATGATACCGATTGTGTCCGAAAATCGGCGCGATCGATGAACACCGAAACGAACATAGAAATTCAAATTTTAAACCGATATCGATTTATATTTCGGGATGAAAATACGGAACAGTGTTGTTGGGAGTGAGCGGTAATGCAAGTACAGCTTTACGATAAACGTGAGGTGTTTGTCTTATTGTTTACCTTCTACCGAAAAAATAATATTTTCCGTCGAGCCACCGTGCGAAGCCGTCGCACACGTGATCGCAACAATAATGTAAGGCAACACGATTGACCGTTGGTTCGGAGTGTTTCCGAAGTCCCGTGTGATCAGCACCACCGCGATCGAGTTCACGACCACTGGGATTGGAAAGACTGGATTCGAAGCAAGGGCGGGTTTTATCACTCACCAAGGGAGGGGCTAATGGAGGTTCAATAATTTAGTTAGTTGTTTTTTAAATCTATATAACATTTTAAATTACAGGATATGTTTTTGAGTCGCTCTTAAGTAAGTCATTTTTTTCAAAATAGTTACATTATTGGTATTGATTTTAACCTGAAACCATTTTAAAAATATAGGTTTACACTTATAATTAACAACAAAAATGAGCTATTTATTCATAAAAAAATATATAAAATAGGTACCATATTCATCAATGACGATTGACGAAATTTTATAATAATTATTAATATATCAACACATATATCATAATACTTGGCTTTGTAAAATAGTTACCTTAGTCCCAGGAGGAGATAATGCCCCCTTATCCTCCCCTTCAAACCCGCCACTGATTCGAAGCCGAACCAACCCGTACGATGCGGTGTACACGTGGAAGTTTCGAAACGATGCGCGGACATCTGTTTACCATTACAATATCACGGCCGTGTAAAATATCGTAGCGTAACGGTGTACGCGTGTTACGCGGACGCCAGATAAGATATGAGTTCTTCTGGAAGTGCACTGTTTGCACAGGATCGCCCGCCCACCGACGACAAGGCAAACGTAGGTGTAAGATATCGATACGAGCTACGGAACATTAACATTGCGTCACGTAATGATAATAATGATGTAATAACGTCGGAAGTGACGTACAACGGACAGGGCCGCCGTTAGGGGTAGGCAAAACGGGGTGTTCGTCCAGGGCCTCGCGCAAAACGTGAAACGCGTGGATCGTCTGGCGAATGCGATTTCTTGAGAAATACGTTGGCATATAACAAAACAATGTTATGATATATTTGATATGTCATGAATACACCACCCCGGGGGTACCTAGAAAGTTTATCTTATCGCATTTCGTAAATGTGTGTAATTAATCATTACCCGATATGGCGTGCAGCTGTCACTGAGTCGGCTGCATCCGAATTGAGTCCGGAATTTAAAATTACTACACTAGTTGGGTCCTGAATTATTTTAGGTTTACACTAGTTCCTGAATATTTTTTGGTAAGTACTACATTATACTAACATTTTCCTTCCCATTTTAACATACTTAGGACTGTCTATGATCTATTCTGACCACAGGTATGGTTAAAAATGTTTTTTATAGTTTTTTTTTATTTTCTATAGTTTCTTTTCGATTAAAATATAAATTATTAGAATTGTGTTGGTAAAAATATTAAAAATATTAAAATTGTATTAATATTATTGTATAATATTTTTAATGATTATAATATTTTCATTACTTAATATTACTTAATAACACTTTATATTATTATATAAATTATAGAGTTTTAAAAAAATGTGGTCCTGTGGTCAAAATAGATCATAGACAGCCCTAAGTATGTTAAAATGGGAAGGAAATGTTAGTATAATGTAGTGCTTAAAAAAAATACTCAAGAACTAGTGTAATACCAAAAAAAAAATAATTCAGGACCCAACTAGTGTAGTACTTATACAAATCCGGGACCCAACTAGAGCACTTCCTGCGATTAGCCTCTAGTACTCGGGACCCAACACGGATGCTCCAACTGAGTCTGATCACATATCATCGTATTTAATTACGGTCTACAGGTCTACAGGTGACTATAGTCGTTGATAAAATAAGTTTTGCTCAGGGTCTCACAAATGGTTAGGTTAGGTGGCTAACTGGTGGAAATCGCAGGATATCCTTGTAGTGCGTCCGCGCGCACTCGGAAAATCTGTTAGTGGAGTACACTGAAAATATCACATCGTTGCGTGCGACATTGTTCACCGATAAACCGTCCGGTTGGTGCGTAACCAAGCGCAGTTCCAAAGGGGGGTATTGGGGCCATGGCCCCCTGGCTTTTCAAAAGTTTAAATTTTTAATACATTTTTATCCTTGTGAACTGTAAACTGTAACTGTACCTAACAATTTTATTTCGCCTAAAAAACCATATTATGACTTTAATTTGAGATGTGTATCATAATATAGGAACGAAATCGGACTCAGTATGTGTCTCAGTTCTAATTTAGGGAAATAACTATTATCATTTAATACTTCAAATGCCACCTGTGGTTAGTCTCTGAAGCTGCTCCTGTACGTAACAATATCATCACGTACGTCGACTGCCTTTGCATTTTTTCCTCTCCGTTCCTTTTCGTATGGGTGCCGAAATGATAACGTCTCGCGTCTCCTACTCATTGGTCATTGTCGAAAATGATATAATAATAATAATAAATTATATTTTGTCTACCAAAGGCGGTTTTTGAGAAGCCACAATGGGAAGGGGGCGAAAATATTTTGTATATACTTACAATTTGCATACATATCCCATTTATTTTTTCCTATTGCTTGATACATGAGAAGTAATTTTAAGTTCTATAAGATTTATACCACAATGGCATAACATAAAAATATAGTTGTCAATAAAAAAAATTACTTAAAACAAAAATTATTTTTCATTCAAACTTAATTAACAGACAAACAGTTAAGAGCAAACAGTTTTGACATAAAATTATCGCCAAAACGATTTTTAGTGAACTGTTAGCTCATTCATAATTTTAATTTTTACACGGCTCAAGGAGAGGTGAGGTGGTTCACCTACTTCCCTCCGGGAAACCGCCACTGATGTCAACCGAGAAAACTGCCGATTACTGTCTGCGCACAGCGGTGATGTAAGACCGAGTCTCAGCGATCTCGCGTATCACACACGTACATAACACCCACAACAAACTGTTTTTTTTATTTTTCCAAATTCACCGGCTTACTTTATACTTAAGAATGACAATTGTTTGAGCTTAAAATCGATAAGTCGGTAATATTAAACGCGCACTGAGTGTCGTTTTTCAAAGACAACAATAAGTAGACAAGTAAGGAAAACACCGGAAAACATTACAACGGGCGATTGTAAACTCCGCCAGAATATCGATTAAGATAAAAAGATAATTATAAGCTTAATGTAAACTCTGTCAGTTTTTTTATAGCCCCCACAAGATTCAATTAATAAGTATAAAATATAAAAATAATTACCTGTTTTTTTTTTTTAATTTTTCTAGTAAAGTGCGAAAAAATATTCTATTTTTTTCTTTGTTTGGCAAATAGAGCTATTAGTGTAAGATTAAACGAATTACTAGATTGGGATTGGTAATTTTCTACCATTACTACTTAATTACTAATTACAATATAATTACTCAACTTTAGTGCCGAGTGATGGGCCGTTAATCATAATAGTTATTTGAATTTAAAAAATAGGATTATTTCTTGTGTGTTGTATTAATAAAAAGAGATGAGTTTAAAGGTTACTTTTATTTACTTATTAACGTTGTATTAACGTTTTATAAATATTTATTAATAATTAATAAAGATTTATAAAACGTTCAATAAGAAAAATTGATGTGATTAGAAATTAATAGCATGATGAGGAAATAACCCATCAGTAATATAATTTTAAAGTTTAAGTTTGAAAGCATGTAGATCAAGTAAAAATTCTTGTACTTCAATCTTGTGGAGCCTGAGGCCCACACAACCCTAAATCCGACCCTGATAATGGGTATATGTAAACTCCGCCAGTTTTTTTTTGTGTTTTGTCTGTGAATCCTTTCATAGTCATCTAAGAAATTAACTTTATAATAGTCAACCGAATTTTTATATTTTTAATAAAGTTCTTACCGAATTTCAAACCCATACTTATATAAAACTAAATAGCATATCTCAGGTAAATAAGCTAAAAAACTCGAAATAAAAAAAAATGACAGTGTTACAGGATGCTATAAATAGGTACACTAATGGATTTATAGAATATTTACAAATTGTATCACATCATTTTAGTTTACATACATGACATAACTTCATATTTTTGGACTATTAGTTATAAAGATTATTTATTATGATTTTTTTTTTTTACTGTGATTTAAATATTTAATGTGAACGATATAATATTATGTTATATTATAATTTTTTTTCAATAATATACATACTAATTTTATACTATTATTCGATTTTCTTCATTGGTGGTGTTTACATGAATTCAATTTCACCTGATTTTTTTTCAATGGTGGAGTTTACATGAACCCAATTTTACCAAACGGAGTTTACAGTAAAAAAAAGGTACTTGTGGTGGAGTTTATTAAAATGACTGGAACCCTAAAGGTTGTTGTTTTCTTATTCTTGCTGGGTCGTAAGTACTGACGCGGTAAACAATTGTTGTCCTAAATCATTCTCTCCGATGGTTTCACCAAAAATATTTTGCAGGTACGCACATTTAAAGTTCGACGACGGCGTGAAGAAAATTACAACACACAATGCGTGTATAATTTTTGCGATTAATAGGTTTGTCATATACGCAAATGCCAAATCGGGTCGACCGACGAACACGGAGACTTACGAAAACGAACATACAACTCGAAGCCTGTACGTAATAATAATAATAATAATATATGTTAACTAAATATAATACAATTGTGTTCTCTTCGTGGTCATCCTATTTTATTATTACAATCGTCGTAGTTATCACACGAGCGCATTAACTATTCGTTTCGCTGTCGATGGACATAATATTATACTCCGTCAATTGGGTAAAGTGATTTGATACAATGAGTATACCCGTACGCCCATCTGATACGATGACCGTCATACGATGAATTAATGAATTAATAATATTGCGAGCAGCTACGTGTTTGTTATGATTATATTCGATATTTTAATAGGCTATTGCAATTTAATCGAATATTTTTCGTGTCCATAACTGATTTAATGAATAAAATTTGATATCATTGTACTTAATGTAATTTTTTCAAATGTACAGCACTCAAAGGTATCGAGTACCGAAGGCGTGTACATCCACACGTAAGAAGACGATTTCGAATCAGATCGTTTTCATCGATTCTTTTCCAAAGTGTATATAACCGTCGATGTATTTCGTTTACGATGCGCAATCGACGAACACATAATAATTCCTTCAATATGAGTTGACTAAAGCTCATCGGCCATCGAACATTTGGATCGTTTTGCTGTTATCATTAATTATTATAGTTGAAACTCTGAAATTCCGGATTTGACGTTCCACGCTGTGTAGTAGACGAATTAAAAATCCTCGTATTGTCTTTAAATGCAATCGTAGATCGTTATATTTTTTTTTTTTTTATGCGATGTATTGGCCATTGTTGGACAAGATTCATTAACTTCCACGCCAAATATGGAGACCGACGGAATTATTTATAACGGTTTTTCTAAATTAAATTTACGTGTGCTTGTTGAAACGAACGAAGGATTTAAGAATAGGGTTGTCGAAACAACGACGATCGCGGGTTTTCGGTGTTGTTTCAGTTACTACGTAAAAACGTCATTCGATAAACGTTTATCAATAACGTTCTGTGATCAAAATCTGTATTCCAAATCATGTAAAGCGTTACAATAGCACGCGCGTTTGCCAAAAGTTCTGAATCGTGAGAAGTCTTGCTCCGTAACATAATTATTTCATAGTTTCATATAATATCTGTTGTTGTGCCCGGTTGATAATTAGGCATGTTGTACATGAAAATCGCGAACATATGTATATTTCGAAACATTTTAACCGAGTACAGTAGCATCAACTATGAACTATGTGTGTTTACTATGTACACTACTATTTGGTATTGAAGTATTTTAAAATTTAGGAACTAATTAAATGTTGACGAACAACGGGTGTTTGTTTTTGGTTCATAAAGTGTATTGCTCTAACTGTGATTACTATATTTATGGTGGTTACCGTGAACGTTGTGGCAACACTCGTCTAACACCATCATATTATAATCACCATGGTTTTCATACCATATTGTGTCGCGGTAACCGCAGCAGAGCGCCGTTATTTTATTATAATTACAAATCATTTTAAAATGCTGAAAATATATTTTTGACGATGTTGGAGTGAGTAAAAAGTGAACTCTCAAATCCTCTCATACCTAACATATTCAAAAAATTGTTTAACCTCTCCTATTTAAAAATCCTGACTGCGGCACTGAATGAAGACCAATGAGCATCTAAACCTATTTTTTTTTTAAAAATATAGCGAACCTATATTTTTGAGTAAAGAAAAGAAACGCCATCTTACTTTTTGACATTAAAATTACACAGATATAATACGTATTATAGTACAGTACTGCTAGGTAATAGCTGCTGAGTCAATATTTGAAAAGCATGTTTTTTTTTTTTTTTAATATGTTGTTCACAGAAATACCTATTATAATATTAGAGTATAACATAAATAAATTAATATTATTTTAATAAAAAAACGTTTTGTATTTTCTTAATTTAAATTTTTTATATATTACAAAAACACTATTCACTGGAATTTCTTTTGTTCAACAGTGAGCTTGAAAATGTTCTACAAAATTATTACACACTCGACGATGTGTATATAATACTATGAATACTGTGAATCTATACTTTGAACCACAGTATTATTGTTAACTCCGCTAAACCTAAGTACCATTCTCTTAAAAGTATAGTTTTATTTTTTTAATACATAATTTGTCTTTTTTTCCCTAGTTTTATTTGTTTGTTGTTTTTCGGTAATGTTGTTATTTAATGTATTTTTATTAAATCACTCAAAAAAAAAAAAAAATAAAAATAAAAAAAAATAGTTATAAAACATAAAACTATAAATAAACATTCAGCTCGGAGATCTCAGAACTAAATTACGTTTTAAGTTATTGAATTTCTGTATAATATTATCGTTCATTCCGATAAGAAATAAAAATAATGAAGTTTATCGATTCGTAGTCTTTATCGATCTATCTTCATCGCAAACATTTTGATAACCATTAAACTATAGCAATAAAGTACTAGGTAACATAACCTATGTTGATTCCAACTAAACGCCATTGGCTGCGTGAAAAAAAAAAACCGGAAACAATTAACACAATAGCATGTATTCGAAGCGGTTAGGTCATTCGAAGTCGGTATCGAAAAAAGTCGACCAACCGTGGCCGAGTTAAAAGTGTAGAAAAAAAAAAACGTTTCGAACTATTTTAACTTTGATATTCCAATATAATAGACACAGCAGTAGTGATTGCTCACCGTTGCGCAATAGAGAGACGTTCGCATCTTTTTACACGGGAAACGGAGAAATAATAATTGTTACATTATTATTTCGTACGTCGATTACGAACGAACGATACGCCACGCGTTTGCACACGGAGAGACCGCTGTCCAAATTTGAACACATCGATAATACACTAACGAGTATTGCGATTGGAACGTAGTAGCGATTGTTGCGGTGCAGTGCGACTTGGACGTAATAACGTTACGATGTCATAACGTGCACAATAGAATACTAACTACGGAACGTGTGGCGAGAGAGAGAGAATTCGTGAATAGAAGCGCGGAGAGAGAGAACGATCGAAGCGTAATTTTATTTTATAATATTTTTTTCGGAAAAAATTTCAAACGATCTGGAAAGAATCACCTGGACCAAATACTCGTCTCGATCTCCGCGGTGGGTGGGGGATTCCAACGTGTAGATGCCTATTTTAAATCGCGCACACCGCCAGCGGCACGCGCAGTGCCTCAACTACCGGGTGTGCAAGGTGTGCGTTGCACACGGGCCACCAAACCGTTAACCACACGATGTATTGTCACATAAATTTTAACCGAAGCAAATCGACAAACGTAAAAAACAGATTAATCGTGTTGTTAAATACTTACGATCAAATAACGTACCGAACTACCGACTGGTTGCCGACGACCGAATGCAACACCGTCGATCGTGAACGCTATTGCATTACCAGAAGTGTTTATAACCGTACGGTTAGTGATATTGGTTCTTAGGACAGGAATAGCGGAAAACGATGCGGGCCTGCGCCGACGCGGGTCGTTTAAAATCGAATGTCCAAATGGTACAAACACCGGTTAACAACAATCTGTTGACGGCAGGTGAACAGGCTTTTTCCGAAAAAAAAACGTTTAGGTCCCGCGTTCGGATTTGCGGGGCAGCCCCCCGTGGTGCGCAGTCGCGTACGTGCGGACGTAACCAGTGGCGTAGCCAAGGGGGGGGGCTAAGGAGTCTATAGCCCCCCCCCATGGGCCGTGTTTATATGTATAATGTATCTTGACTGTTTAATAGAATCAATGGATGCTCGTTTTAATCAAAGGCTTATTGATGTTATGCCACTTGAAGGACTTATTCCGGCCAATTTAAATATGTATGACGATAAAAATATTATAAAAGCTGCTAAAATATATGTCCAAGATCTCCATGATGATACCTCATCTACAATTACCTGTTCATATGGAGGCAACAATGGAGTCAAAATACTATTCAAAAACCGAATTCTGCTCTTGATTCACTCTCTCGTCGCACCAATCTTCGACCTAACATTAAAATACTTTTACAATTATTCGCCACGTTACCAGTTAGCTCTTTCACTCCGGAAAGAACGTTTTCAGCACTTGATCGCTTAAAAAATTTTTAGAAGCACCGTGTCGGAAAACAGACTGAATGGGTAAGCTATGGCTAGTATAAATAAAAAAGAGCAATTCGATGAAAGTGAAATAATAACCGAATTTGCCGGAAATTCGCCTAAGAGGATGCAGCTGTCAGAGTGGAGCAAGTGACTGAACACTGAAACCAAAATTATTATTACTATTATAAATTATATATTAATAAATATTTTTAAAACTATAGTAAAATGCTTGAATTACGTTTAGAAACTTGGTTGTAGATGGTGTGTGTGTGTGTGGGGGGAGGGGGGGGGGGGG